TTTATATTAATTTTAATCAAATTTTATATAGTAAAATTTAAGAAATAACAATTCAAAAAAGTTTATATTAGTAAAATCTTTTTTATAAGAGATATATAATAAAAATTTTTACATTTATATAAATTCCAATATCTAATAACTTAATTAAATAAGACAGAATTAAAAATTTTATTTTGAAAAAATAATCTATTAATATTTATTTAATGTACCAATCTTTTTACCCCGGACCATATCTATATTTATAAATTCTAAATTTAGAATATATTTTATGAATATCGATAATCGTTGTGATGGAATCTTTTTGTGATACCCAAAATCAGTTGATCAGAATTTGTACGTATCGAAATGTACGGAAAATAATATCATTTTATACGTGATTGTAAATACAAAAATTTCCTACACCTCCGGATTTGCCGGTATCACAAATATTGATTTTGCTAACTAAATAGGTATCGTCCAATTTGTCGAGATTCGGATAATCCTCACAATCAATTGAATACAATATTTATATAAATCAGCTTAGCTCTGTTAAACCGTGTACAGGAAAATCTACACCAAAGTTTATTTGTTTTGTTTACTCTTTTCTTTATTGGTTTTTGCAAATTCGAGTAAATGAATATTTACCAAATATTCATTTTAATGAATATACTCGCATGCATAACCAATAGATCCAATTTTGTTAATTTAACAAAAAAGTAAGTATTTTTTTCAGGTAGACACATTATCGTTTATAACAAGATGATTTCAAGGTCCAATCGATTTTGAGATGGGAACAAATTTCTAAAAAAAGTATTTACTCGAATTTTAAAAAATAGTGCATACATGTATTTCTTATACGAGGACACATTTACTGGTACGTCTCACGCATGAAATGTGTTTTTTTGAATGGATTAACAGGTTGGTTTAAAACATAATTTTGAGTACTGAAATGTATATTTGAGGTAGTGGAACAATGATTATAAAACGAATAGCATGCATATCAATCAGAAATAACAACAGGAGCTGAATATTCATCACATAGAATGAATGAATATAGTAAATACAGGAAAATTCTATGCATGTATCAGTTAGTCAATCATTCAGTTAGTCGGTCAATAAGTCGATGAAAATACCCCCCTTTACCCTTTTTCTTTTGAAATTGTTCTAAACAAAACTGCGACCGGTAAGCTTCGAAAATTATTCTGACTCGATTTGGTTGAGCTTTTAAGCATAATTTAGAATAAATATATTAATGTTTTTAGTTCGGTAGGCAGTATAATAACCGGTCTCTCCAAAGGTAAATAAATAAAATATGTATTATTTGAAATATATTTTTGTATTTTTGAATTTTTTTTTCAATTATGAGATCGGACTCTGTAATTCCTTTCATTTTTGAGTTATTCCTTGATAAGCACAAATTTTCCTGACGTAATTTATTCAATTTAGCAAACTTCCTTCCACAATCTTTCATAAAAGATAACGAAATAAAATAAATAGAGTAGACTTGAAATATAGAGAGAGCGTTCACCTTCGCATCCATTACACACGAAACAACAATAAATAGAGACGAAATGCCCCCAGAACAGACTGACCAAAGAACATCAGAGCAAAACAACTCATTGCAAGATATCAACTCTAACGCTATCGATCCAAGAGCGCCTACCTTTACTCAGGCTAGGGTATTATTGACTTGTTATAGATAAATAGTCATGTTAATATTATTTCAAATTTGATATTCATAATCGGCTTTCATTTATCTATTCACATGTGCTTATAGCAGCAAGTTGATGAACGGCGTCAAAATAATCAACATGGCCATCAAACACAGACCCAAAGAGGTACTAAACGATTAATTTCTTTACTTTTTGTACCCGACACAAAAAAACACCTGATCATCGTCAGACCATTAAACAAATGTCAATCATTGGTCATTAATTTCCTCCGAATACAACAGTGGCCACAACCATTAAACTATTTCCATTAGCTGATTCGGTTAATTTTGCGCATAAAGAGCTTCGCTTTAGCCCCGGGATGGAGATGAAGGTTGGGCGGGTGAGCGGAAGTCGAAATCAAAGAGAATCAAAGCAAGATAATGGTGTATTCTTGTGCGATGTAATGTCGAGAGAACATGCCTTGTTACAGGAAATAGATGGAAAGGTAATATTAATTAAAGTAATTAATTGAAATGCATACGCTTTTTCCATCCCGCCATTTAATTGTTTAAATATGATAAACAACAACAGATTTGGATTAAAGACATGAAGAGTACGCATGGCACTTTTATAAATAATTTTCGCATTGGCAATGGAACAGCGCCAAGTGAATTTTATCCTTTGAAACATAAGGATATAATCACTTTTGGACATAGCGTGCGACGTAATCAAAGTAATTTACTTTCAATTATATGCTATATACATATGTGTACGCATGTACATAATCTCATATATGTAAATATACGACATTAAAATCACAGATCTATATAAACATTTATCGGCCTATGTATGGTACCCATCCGAGAGTGGAGGTATAGATCCACCTTCTCCTGTGGTCGTAGATCGTCGGGAGGCTAATCCTCAAAGTGCACCAGTGAATAATACAACAATCAATGGAATTGGTAATGGCGTTGTTGGTAATGGTGTTGTTAGCAATAATTATACGGCCCGACAAAGAGATATTGGTATGTATAGATGTTAATGTACTTTGGTATTCTATAGTTCGATCGTCAGTTCAGTTAATTAAAATTATTTACATTTTTTTGTTAGTGGAGAATGGCAACACAAACACGCGGTCTATCCCACCGCATTCAAATGCAAGACCTGATCATATTGATCGAGCAAATAATCGTTTACAACCACCAATTCATCGTGACACACGAACGCACACTACTCCGCCACAATCACAGCAACCACAAAATCATAATCAAGAACCCAAAATGGAAGCAATCGAAATAGAGTCAGACGCAGAAAATGACAGCATACGAGAACGTGAAAATAATGAAGAAAAAAATAATGAAAAAGATAAAGAGTCAAAACCACAACAAGAAGTACGAAATATTTCAATTCTATCTTTAACATATCGTTGATTCTTGAGTATTAAATAGCATTTAAACTTGTAAAATCAGGAAATCGCATCTACTTCTAATGACAATAATGGAGTGAATAACAACTCCTCTGCGGTATCTAATGATGATAGTATAGTGAAAAAGGAGCAAGCTACTTCAACTATATTAGAAGAGGATAATAGTAACAAAAACAACGACAACAAAAATGGTAATAGCAATGGTGATGAAAACGACAAAAATAATAATATTGTAGTGAAAAAAGAACATGCCACATCATCAATCTTACCTAACGATAATGTTAGTAATGATAATGGTGGCAGTAACAACAACAGTAGTAGCACCAGTATCAACAATAATGATAATAATAATAGTAGTAGTAGTAGTAATAAAAATAATAATAATAATAATAATAATAATAATAACAATAATAATAATAATAATAATAATAATAATAATAATAATAACAATAATAATAATAGTAGTAGTAGCAGTGGTGGTGGTGGTAGTAGTAGTATTAATAATAGTAATAATGATGATGATGTTGTTGATGATGATGATGATGATGATGATAATGCTGCGAAAAAGGAAAAAGCTGCATCAGATATCGTGAAAAATGAACGCATAACATCAATTCCATCAACAGAAAATATCGTAGTGAAAAAGGAGCAGGTCGCATCAACGACACTAAAAGATGTAAATAAATCTAAAGATCATTCTCACCATGCCAAAACAAAAGAATCGACTATTCCAAATTCCAAGGGACTTTCACTTCCGAAGTCAAAATATTCTGCAGATATTGAACAAGCAAAAGATCCTTCTTCTAATGAACATACAATAACAAATCATCAAAATGAAGCTTCCAAAATTCCAATTCCCATTGCAACTAAATCAAATGAACTCTCTGATAAACGTAATAGAGATTCACAATCGGTAAGTGAAAGGAATGCCAATTAGCTTTTATTATTTTGGCTTTAATACGATAAACATCATTTATAGGTGGAATTTGGGAAAAATGAAATTCAAAACGATAATAATCAAGCAGAAAATTTTGAACGAGAACATGATCAATCATCCGATTCGAAACTAGACATGGAGTTGGATAAACTTGAAAGCGACGACGAAGGCAAGACATCTGAAGGTAAAGAAGTAAGATTAATACCATCCAGAAAACGTACACATGAAGAAATGGAATACGAAGAAATAGAATTCGAAATTGCTGAATATTCTCTAGAGCATGTTAATCTGCTACGAAGACAGTTAGCAGTAGCTGAAGCAAATATCGAACGAAAAAGGAAACGAGTTAGATGGGAAGTGGCAAGCTCTGTTATTGCAGGCATGCTTTTTGGAGTTGTCTCATTAGCGGGTGGTGCTGCTGTCGCATTATTTAATAGTTAATCATAGCTCCGTCATAATTAGAAGTCATTTTCTTTATCATATGTACTAATGAATTTCTTGTCACATTAATCACAAAGTCGTTAATTAATTTTTGCTTACTACACAAATTCTTCATTCGATTTCCTCCTATTCTTTGATCGTAAATATATCATCTGATTTCGCTCTCTCTTTATTTCTATCTTTCACGATCATCATTTTTTGAAAAATTTTATTCCCCATTCACATTCTTCTATCTATTCTTTAGGTATTTTTTTTTCCACTTTTACAATTTCTGATCGAACGGCATGTATCTTTAGTGATAGTTAACTGCTCAATAGATCTCTAAATGTATATACAATGATTTTAACGGTGTGTGTTTAAACAATTATAATATATCCTCAAAAATACTTTATTATTTTGTGACGTACGCTCGTCTTAAAACCTTAAAAAGTGCACGTGATTCAAAGCATCTTAAGATGCATATAATTGTTAGCATCTGGTCACAATAAATTTTTAAGATGAATATTGATATTGAATATATAGCTTGATTGGAATGTTTGAATAATATGTAAAAAAATATTTTATTTCAATTTTATCATATTATTTTGTTAATTGTGAAAAAAATTTGATTTACTTTATTGTATTAATTATTTTTTATTTTATAACATGACAAGAAAATTATTAGTAAGATTATCAGAAATATTTTTATAATAAAAATTTGATATTATTTTTAATTGAACTGGCAAGAATATATATTTTAATTAAGAAAAATAATTATTTATATTTAAATAAATTGATAATTAGATTAAAAGAAATTTTAAAAAGATAAGATAATAATAAATTTTTCTAAATATAAGTTAATGTAAAAAGATTTGTATCTCAAATAAATATTAATAAATTATTTTTACAAAAAAAATTTTAATTCTGTTTTATTTAATTAAGTTATTAGATATTAGGATTTATTTAAAATAAAAATTTTTATTATATAATAATGATCAAAAGTAATGACTCAGTGATTAAATTTACTAATAAAATATATAGTGAAAATTGAAATTTTCTTTCTATATTAAAATTTATAATTTTAATAAGAAATAATTTTTATTTTTATATTA